CAACTCAAAGGATTGTGCACAGAGATAATGTAAATAGGATAGCACACAAAATATCATTTTACTAAAAAAATCATTTGATATTTATTTACCACATTTTAGAGATTACTCAAATGAAATTTGATAACTTTAAGATGAAGAAAGTATTTAAAATCTTGAGAAGAAAATCACTTAGCAATTGGAGTAATAAACACACTAATTCTCTATATTCATGAACAATATCTAATTCAGTAGATATACGTAATTAAACACTTAAGTTTTTGTGTACAAAATACTACTACTGTTTAGAGAATTTCATGAAGATATTGTATAAAAACCCTTATGCTTTTGTATTTTTTATTATGTTTACTATAGGGTTACAAGATCAGCTATACCAATCAAGTCTATTGGTGAGTGTTGAGCCAGTGTCAAGAAACTTACGTTTTAGGTGATGTCTGTACTTACCACATGTTCTTTCTGACCCTGATTCAATCTCTCTTTGAAATTCAGTTTCTGTTATCAGGTTCACAACATTATAGAACGAACTATCCTGATTCTCATCCTCACTGTAAACAACTTGTAGTAGATCATCAGGCTGTTCCATTTTCACTTGAACAGACATGTTCTAAAATCAAAAAAAGCTTGAACGGGTTAACAGTAATAACAACTAATGTTAATATTACATACAGTTCCCCCAGTTCACTAACTTAAAACATGATGATGTGATTAATAAACCTAACATTTCAAATTTAGTTATGTAGGTAAGCAGTCCGAGGCTATATAAATACTACATATTTTATGTCTGATTCTGTAGTCAAACAAAAAATTGACATACAACACATTGAAACAAGAAAGATTCAACAATGACTTTCTTATTTATCCAAACTGAAAATAAAATTATTGAACTTCATGTTGATATTCTACTGCAGCAAAGCATCAGAGATATCTGAAGAAAACATTGGGTAATACACAGTGAGAAAAATAAAATATTGTTATGTCTCCGTTCATTACTTAATTTTCTGTAGCTTCATTCCGACGAAACTTTAGCGACACAAGTCCTTTCTTAAATAAAACTGGTTTATTCTTTCCAAATACAACTTTACGATACGCTTAATTTCATCATCTTGATGGTCATCTTGTATGTATATGTTAATGTCCAGAAAGGGGAGTGTTGTGTTGGATATTCCTAAGAAAATTCTAAAGAGAGGTGGAAAGAAGAAACAAAGAGCAGAAAATTTAGTTACCCATAGTGACTCCACAGATCTGTTTGTAGATCTTTCTTGTGGATTTTACCTTTTTTGTTTAAATTTTATTTGTTTTATCTTTTAAGGATTTATAATTTTTATGTAACAGATGTAATTTTGTACAAATATTTCATGTTCAACATTCCAAATACTACCCATTCCATTTTTTTGAATTTTGTGCATGTTGTAAGCTGTATAATCTGATGAAGAGAGCTAGCTCAAAACTTCGTTCTTCTTTAAATTAAAATATAAAAACTTGGCAATTGTTCTATCTATTACATGATTTTGTTAAAACATGTTTACATTCTGGTGTGCACTACAATAGTTCTGGACTACCAATATTACTACCGTAACATGAGCTCTAATAAGTTTATTCACAACAATGCAACAAACTTGTAGTGAATTTCTTCAGCTCATGACTACAAACATGTCACCACTGATTATATGCCAACAAACAAATTCCAAAAAGACATAATTACAGCTACACATTTTCTTTAATTACACAACTATAAAAAAGTTTAATGACCTCAATTTTCTCTGATGCTATATCACAATTAGTTTCTTTTGTTTTACCAAACTCCAAAACAGTATGTAGAAAACTTCCTTCCATGGAATCAACTT